TCGACCTGCTGGGCTCCGGCAATCCTTCCGCCTCAGCTTTCCAAGTAGCTGGAACTATAGACATGCACTACCACACCTGGCTAATTTTTAACTTATTGTAGAGATGAGGTCTCACCAAGTTGCCCAGGTGGGTCTCGAACCCGCGGGCTCAGGCAATTCACTCACCTCAGCCTCCCAAGGCGTGGGATTACAGGCTGAGCCACCGAACCCAACTTAGAGTTGTTTTCAATACGTCACAATACCCAAAAGAAATCAAACCTTTACCCACAATAAGACCACAAAGGCAAGTTTAAATATCAACTATCTTTTCATGCAGAAATTTTATCAACTCATTGTGGTCACACTGATTATCTCCTGCTAATCAGAAGTTTGGTTGTTGACATTATAGGAATGGTTGGGACGTTGATTTTCCTGCACACTCAGTCACAGATGACTTGGTTAATTTGGAAAGAGAAAAGTGAATGGTTATTCCATAGGTACAGTATGGCAGACAACAATGCAGGGGCGGCCGGGCTCGGTGGCTCAGCCTGTAATCCCAGTGCTTTGGAAGGCTGAGGTGAGTAGACTGCCTGAGCCCGCGGGTTTGAGAGCCGCTTGGGCAACTTGGCGAGACCTCATCTCTATGGGAAATAAAGAAAATTAGCCAGGCGTGGTAGTGCACGCCTGTAGTTCCAGCTATTTGGAAGGCTGAGGCAAAAGGATCGCCAGAGCCCAGCAGGTCAAGGCTGTGGTGGCCGGGAGCGGCCACTGCACTCCAGTCTGGGTGACAGAGTGAGATTCCAACTCAAAAAAAAAGCTGGGTTCAGTGGCTCAGCCTGTAATCCCACACTTTGGGAGGCTGAGGTGAGTGGACTGCCTGAACTTGCGGGTTTGAGACCTGCCAGGGCAACTTGGCAAGACCTCATCTCTACGATAAATCAAAAAATTAGCCAGGCGTGGTAGCGCACGCCTGTAGTACCAGCAACTTGGAAGGCTGAGGCAGAAGGATCACTGGAGTCCAGCAGGTCAAGGCTGCAGTGGCCGGGAGCGGCCACTGCATTCCACTCTGGGCGACAGAGTGAGACTCCAACTCAAAACAAAAAAACAATGCAGGGGCAACAGGACACATATAACAAAAAAAGGGCTTCAATAACAAAAAGGCTTGGAACCACTAACCAAGGGAAGATAAAGCTGAAGCTGCCTTGGTTCTCTAGGGAAAAGGAATTCCTGGTGCCTTAGGGACTGAGCCCATAGGTTTCAAAGATGAATGAGGTCCCCTTTCTCTCACCCTCTGGGGTCTGCAACGCTAGCATGAGATGGTTTTCTTCTCTGGGCGGATGGACCCTCCAGTCCCACAGAAGCAGTGGGGAGGCCTGCAGGAAGGCTCAGCACAGGTGGGTGGGTCAGCAGTGGAGTGGATCAGGGCCCAGGGAACTCCTTGTATCAGCAGCTGGAGAACAAAAGAAGAAAAGAGAGTCACAGTCCTGTGAAATGATGCAGGGCGGGGACAACACCAAGAGAGGCAAGACCTGGAACAAGCTAGGAACCCCCAGGATGGGGCAGGAAGTATTGGGGGGCGGGATCTGGACATTTGGAAGATGAAAGTTTACTATTTAAGCTTTCCAACCAACATGTTCGCCCTAACGGGCATGTGACCTGCCTGGCTGCATAGGGCCCCATGTTCAGGAAGGCTGCAAGCCTGGTTTGATGCTCTGTCACTGTTTTCAAAATTGTTTATATTTTTTAACAAGGGGTCTATATTTTCAATTTGCACACTGGACCCCACAAACGCTATAGTGGCTCCTTCCAACTAAAGTATCCTTAGACCAGCAAAAAAGTGAACAAACATTCATGTCATAATTCCAAGCCACCCACAGCGAGTGAAAGACACACATCTTTGAATAATGTCTTGTAAAAAATAAAAACATGCAAGCGCATTACATAACACATCTTGTTCACCCTTATTGAAGAAATATTTTTCCCAAGAAATATCCTGTGATATTGCTGCACCAGATAGATAAATTTTGGAGAAGCGACACACGTAGCACAGCTTTAGAGGGAGGCCAAATGGGGACACTGCAGTACTTCCAAAACTAGCTGTGCATCAGAATCATCTGGGGGGTTGTAAAAAAAAAATCCCGACTCCTGTATGTACCTCATCCACATCTTAAGAGCCAGAAATGGGGAAGAAAAGCACACAAATATTTGTAATTTCAAAAATGCAACCCAAAGGCAAGTGGGAGACAAAAATGACTTATTTTTTCACACCACTGAAAAGTTTACCAGTTTTTGGCCAAGTGCGGTGGCTTATGCCTGTAATCCTGGCACTTTGGGAGGCCGAGGCTGGAGAATTACTTGAGCCCAGAAGTTTGAGACCAACCTGGGCAATATACTGAGATCTCGTCTCTACACAATTTAAAAAATTTTAAAAAGAAAAGTTTACCAACTTTTAACAATTAAAAAAAAAATTAAGGGAGGGGCACATAACATCATTAAGGGTACCAGATCAGCCGGGCTCCGTGGCTCAGCCTGTAATCCCCCACTTTGGGAAGCTGAGGTGAGTGACTACCTGAGCCTGCAGGTCCGAGACCCACCTGGGCAACTTGGTGAGACCTCATCTCTACAATAAAAAATAAAAAAATAAAAATTAGCCGGGCGTGGTAGCGCGCGCCTGTAGTTCCAGCTACTTGGAAGGCTAAGGCAGAAGGATAGCCGGAGCCCAGCAGGTCGAGGCTGCAGTGGCCGGGAGCGGCCACTGCACTCCAGTCTGGGTGACAGAGTGAGACTCCAACTCAAAACAAAACAAAACAAAGGGTACCAGATCCCCACCCAGGGGAAGTGAGGACCAGTGAGTGGGAGGCCCAAACTTCGCCAGCACGTAGACCACTTATGTTCCTAATCCTGATGTGTACCCCACATCTCTAAAATATTTTTTTAAAATTTAATTCCCTATGTGATCTGGGTACAGCAGGTTTGTGGCCGAAGTAACAGCCCTGGGGTTGCACAGACCCGGTTCCAGGCCCTTCTGCCGCTTTCCAGTTGACACGCAACTTCTATGGGTAGAGTCTAGCATATTGGAAGCTCTCACAGCTCAACAAGCTGCTCTTGCTAAGATAACGTTTTCATTTATCCTGTGGCTTCCCAACCCCCACGCATACCGCAGTTTGAGAAGCACAGCGCGGATTAAGAACAAACAACTATATCTGCGCAACCCGAAGAACCCACCAGAAGCCAAGAAAGTCTGTGTCCGGGATTGGAGAAAAATGGGGCGGGACCATTCCAGTAATATACCAATCAGAGTTCTCCGGCCCAGTAGGGCGGCGTCAAGGAGCTTGCAACGTGCGCAGGCGCCAGGGTATGAGGCGAAGGAGGGGCGGGCGGACCTCAGCG